GCTTTTTTAAAACGCCCATAATAAAACTTTGAATTTGACTTCGACTTTAACTTACTACGACATAACGGTCTCTGTTTCGTTCGTTTTGAACGCCCATCGAAGCGCATGGATAGCTTAGGACAAGCTAATGGTTTGACAGATTCAGAGGAGGGGACTNCTCATAATGATCACCTCAGGGGACATCCACTAAAGGTGAAGACCCAGAACAGCCACCTTGATTACCGGTATCACTCGTTTGCAGTCAGAGTGTGCGGCGCATGGAATTCTCTCCCATCTGATTTAGTGTGTGCTCCTACAGTTTAATTATTTAAATCGCAACTTGAAAAAGCATTGGAACACTTAAAATTTCAAAATCCGTGAGTGATCACACACATTACTATCATTGTTATTTTCTCTTTGTGAAGTTATTTAAAACATTCTGCAAAAATCTTATGGGGCATGATAAGCTTTAGCTTTTTTAAAACGCCCATAATAAAACTTTGAATTTGACTTCGACTTTAACTTACTACGACATAACGGTCTCTGTTTCGTTCGTTTTGAACGCCCATCGAAGCGCATGGATAGCTTAGGACAAGCTAATGGTTTGACAGATTCAGAGGAGGGGACTGCTTGCTTGTCAATGTCTCACCGTGTACAACCTAACGCCCGATGGGATCCAGTATAGCAAGGCGGATTGAACTCTCCCAGTGAGGATCATACCAACATCAGCGAAATTAGAAGCCACAGCATCGGGGTCCCGAAATCCATTCAGATGAAACTTGTTTAGATAGGGACCTCAGTTGGCTGATAGAGATGTAGTTCTGCATGTTAACTGAGCTCTAGTTGAAGAAGGACTGGAAAGAACAGTCGCGGGATTTCTATCTGAGGCATCTGGTGGCGCGGATAGTGGTGGCGATCAGTGTCGTAGTGGAGGAGTGGGTAGAGAACTATGACACAGTGTCATACAGAGTTACATATTGTGAATCAGCGACAACAGCAACATCGCAGCTGTTTTACTAACTGCAGTTGGGAGAGATAACTAAATATTACTTCTCTCAGTCATTAGATCTATAGATTAAATGGCATGGTCGGACTCTGAACACTGTTGATGATTCAATGACTATGGAAAAAACGAATTCCACTCAGCTAATTTTCATGGTGATCCTCCACACACCACCACCACTGAGATACAGGATTGAAGAACGTTTGCGTATTCTGATCGATGGATGACGTTGTGTAACCCAGATAGCTGGTCTGTTGTATCCAATAGGTGTACCAATTCCAAGGGAATATCATAATAAAAGTGGCATATTGTTGTTTTCTTATTTCAAATCATTTGAATCAGCGAGCGAGTTTCTTATTTGTTGAGAGCTAGGCAACTAATTGGAAGTGGCTTGCCTCGCCTCCGTAATTAACGCACACCATAAAACCGGAGCGGTTATTTTACTCGAAAACGACGTTTGCTTATAGAGATTGTGTTATGAGCACATGCAACCATTTCCAGTACTCACCAAGTGGACCATTATCGCTGTCTGTATTACACACGGTAAGTCTGAAGTGTAACCCCTTTGAGGGCAGGATGTCTTTGTGTAGTTCGTGTATTCTTTTGTGAACTACATCAAAGCAGTGTTGTGCGGTTGTGTTCAGACAACAAGTGAATTAGACAGGAAACCGGCTGTGAATCATCAAAAGCCCATGTGGGAACATGCAGACACATACACACATGAAAAGCGTACACAACAGTACGCAAACCGAGCTGCTAAAAATTGCCTGGGACATGTAGTGAATTCTTCAAGACATTGTCGCTTGAAAGTGTACGGACACCAACAGACTGGTACACAGGGGCACACATACGGAAGTCTTCACCAACTACAACCATCTTCTCCTGTGTAAATTGCGAAGGTAAAATATAAGCTTCGACCTTCATTTGTTGGGTACAAACTATATTGATAGAATTGGGTCACTTTTCCATTTGTTCTGGGTTCGCATTCCAGTCTTAGAAACTACGTATTGCGATGTTGGGAGCGGAGATTTGAGTAAAAGAGAGAGGGGAAAAGTAAGCCACATCATGATAAACGCACAATAATTGACCAACAAAGCAGGCCGATAATATAATAGCACTTATGCAATGAATGAGTTAAAAAGCAACCAAAAAGTAGCATTTATCAGCAGCACGAAGCTGCTTTGCAGACTGTAGAGAATATGGCAAGCACTGTGCATTTGTCTTAAACCACGGCCCGAATCCGTTGACTCGAAATCCGAATTTCGACTGGCATATGACGGACCCACCACATAAGGGTAATATTTATGCGCAGCCACTGAAAATCCGACTACACGAAATCCACTCTGTGTCTAAACATCAGTAAGAACCAAAATGAAAGCCCCTATCGCGTGGATATGTTTGTGATGACTGACAAAGCGCACTGGACACCTGGTTTGTTCTGTTTGGGACTCATCAGCAGTCCAGTACTCCTTGTCGGTCATCACAAATATTTCCAGCGCACTAAATGCATTCAACTAATGGAGAATTAACGGTCTCCCAAGGAGTGGAACTCACACCAAAGACCATCAAGAATGCTTGGTTTCTCTGAACAATAGAATGGATAAATCCAAGCTTGATACTCTTAAATGAGAGCACTTCAATAAAACATGGTTTGAAAGCCGCGGTTATCAACTGGGGTGAGGATCATTATGACACACTCGGGGTTCATCAGTTCCGAATCTACTACTGCCACTGACTGTCATGGTGCTTCAGGACACCACTTCGGTTGTCCCACTCTCCCTACCTTAAACAGCATTGATACACTTCAATTAAACTCCTAAACGCGTTGATGGAACAGCTTTGAAAACTATGAATCCCGAGTATATATAACTGCGTTCAAGACCACTTGGAGCGTTGCAGATTTTGAGCACAGTCGTAAGATTATAAAATACTGTGGATTTGATTGTTTCACAGAATAAGAACATGTCTGCTACTCAAACCAATCGCGCTGTTCGCTGTCGATGTACTATTTATCCCATTTGCGGTGGAACGTTTTCGCCGTTATTCAAGAAACAATCAGGAACGCTCTATTTTCCATACCAATTACCTGTAAGCCTACTAGAAGACTTCTTTAATTGACTAAACTCAGAATATTTGATCAGAACTTTCTTTCGATCTTTATTGTCCCCCTCTCCTGCCGAATAAAATGCTCGTCAAACTGGGAGATAATTGCGCCCCCCCTAAATGTGCATCAATCTGCGTTCCGAAAATGCTGTCAAAATGCAACCCAACCCAGGAATGTCCCCAACCCTCTCTCCCTCACCCCGCACCGCCAGATAATGATACTCGCTTACGCAATAACTGATAAAAAGTCAGGTTTCGGGGGGAGAATTCCTCCACCCATGCCGGGCTTATCAGCATTGAGGTGCACAGGCAACGACCCGGAACTAGCCCGGGTACAAGAAACGAGAGGAAAAGCGAATCAGTCGGGTTTTACTTGGTTCATATCATTTCATATACGGGCACTGACGGTAGGATGAGATGGAAAGGCGGTAAATAACCACAAACAGAATTCTGCCAAGAATCAATTATTCGGCTTCACTGCTCTGATTAGATTCAGACTCACAACCACAGCGAAACCGTGTGTATGACGAGATCAAGGCAGAGAGCGGGCGTGGGCGCGGAGGGGGGGGGGATAAACGGGAGGCGAAGACGAGGGGGTGAAGGAGTTGGCCTTAATGTGAATTCTTCATGCAAAGAGGAAGTGGTTGGACTCAAAACGTTGGGATTCTTCTATTCTTTGGTGATGGTAAGCAGTTTGGATAAAGAAATTATCACCGAAGAAATATGCTTTGCTCTAAGGTACATATATTCTTCTTAATTCTTTTTAATTTATTTTTTTTAATTTTAATTCTTTTTAATTTAATTTTAATTCTTTGAGATTTGAAATTAAAATAACAAGGACATCGTTTAATTTGCGCCATGCTAATGCTACACCAAGAAACTGAAACATGCTTTGAATTTCTATAGATAAGAAAGAT